TTATAATTACGTAATATATATTTATTATCACTTTACTTTCTCTAATATTATTAAAAATAATAATTAGATTTATAGATATTATAAAAAAATTTAAAGTCTATTACCAACAGATATATTATTTACATCTGAATGTTTTTATAAATATAATCTATGAAAACTTATATTAATCTATACAATTTGTATAAATTTATATTAAAATGTAACCTTTAATATAATGGTTGCTATAAGTATAAAAAACTTTTGCAACCTAATATATAAATTTATACTTAAAAATTTTTAAATATAAAATTATTTAAATAAATTAAACCAACAGATCTTAATAAATTTATTTTTATATAAAAATTTTTAATAAAAAAATATTAATAAATAATTTTAAAAATCTTATTTATATTTTTATATTTAAAATATTAATAATGTAAAATAGAAAATTTTATAATTTAACAATAACTTCAATTTTAAATTATAATATATATTTTAATATTAAAATAAAAATATATATAATATTAAATAATTAGCTTAAAGTATGAAAAAACTATATAGTAAAACAAAATTTCTATTTATTTAATTACTCAATATTAAGTTAATATTTTACAATTGCATAAAGATAAATTTTTTAATTTAAATTAAACTTAATAACAGTTTTTATTTCTTAGTTTTTATTTAATTTTAATTTTTATTTTATTAATTAATATAAAATATTAATTAAAATTTCTTTATTAAAAAATATATCGATATATTTTTTTTAATTATAATTTATAGTTTTTATATTTAATTATATTATTTATATTATCAAATTTAAAAATTTAAATTTTTAAATTATCTGTTTTTTTTTTTACTTAATTGTAAGTTATTTTTTTAGTAATTGTATTTTTTTTGATTTTAGCAACTAATCTTAATAATATTAAAATAAATAATATATAATATATATTTTTTTTTTTTAAAAAAATGTAATTTAAATTTGAGTTTATTATTAATAAAATTTATTTATTATACTTATTAATATTTAATTATTAATTTTTTTATTATAAAAAATTTAACTAATAAATATTTTTTATTATATTAACTATATTATATTATATAAATACTAATATAATAATTATATTTAATATAATTTATATTATAATTAACTTTTTAAATAAATTAATTCAAATTATTGATTAGAAATCATTAAAATAATATTAGATTAAATTAGAAAATTTATTTAAAGCAATTGAATTATAATTTAAAAAAAATTTATATTATTTATAAAACTTAAATTAATATTTAAAAAATATAATAAAATAAAAATTAAAATATTTATAAAATTTATAATATTTATTAAAAATATAAATTAAAAATAATTAATAAATTTTATTATTAAATATTAGAATTTTGTAAATTTAAACTAAGTAATTATTATTTAACTTGAATAATAATTATATTTATTAAGAATAATTCATTTTTATCATTTTTTAAAGAATGATATTTTTTTATAAGAATAATAGTCAATATTATTCAAGAATAATAATTATAATTAATAAGATAATTATTATCTTTTATGCAATTATTCTATAAGATTTATTATTTGATTGCAATCATTTTATGAAAAATGATTGCTATTATTTGAGAATAATATTTTTATTATTATTTAAATAAAATAATTACAAATTTAAAAAGAATTTGATTCTTTCTAATTTTAGTTTAATATATTATAAAAGCTAATCAGTTACAAGTATTAAGTTAAAAAAATCAAAACTGAAGATTTTTCTTTCAAAAAATATATAATTACAAATTCAAGTAATAGTTGCTTAAGGAATTTCGCCTATTGGTACCTTTATATCTGATGGTGTTGCTAAAAAAAAGCTATTAATATATATAATTAATGGTTTGGTAAAGGATTCTAGAAATTAAATTATTTTGAACCGCCTTTGACCAATTTATGTTAACTCACGAAAAGTAGATAATAGTTTTTAGTATGTAAATTAGTTAATTAAAAAAATGAAAAGAATAGGAAAATAATCTCTCTCACCTATATATTCTGTTATGATTGCTATTTTAAGTATTTGACCTCTATCAAATACTGTGAGATTAGGATATAACAAACTATATGCTATCTTAAGATAATAAACAATCAAAAGAAGCTTGAGACGCTGCTATTACCAAATTTAAAATAATAGTAGACAAGATGTTTACATAGTCGAATCAAATTCTGTGATTGTGGAAGCTATGTATAAGATAAGGAATGTTCTAAATTATCAACTTTTAAACTTCACACTTCTTTCTTATGGTGGAACTATTAGATGTTGTTTGCACCATTCATAATAGAACAAAATCGAGAAATCTATAATCTTGGCGGAAATACTAATATCACTTGAAATGCCCCTCCTATAATAATTCTACTATGCTGTGCTGCTAATATAGTTTGTAGGTATTTCAATGCATTAGGATTTTTGGTGGCTAATAGATTTGATAATGCAGTAGGTTTATTAAATGTTGAATTAGCTGGTAGTCTAAGAATTAATCCTGGTGGCAATTTCGTTGGCTCTCTTTATCCTTGCATGATGGTGCACTAAGTCGCATCCTTTCTCAATCCAGTGCTACTAGGGCTTATTTTGTCAAACAGCTGTTTACCACACCTTTCAAATACCCAAATTTTGCTATCATATCTGACTATGCTGCTTTTCTAACTTCATCATTTCGATCTTGTTTGACAAGTTAGAATTGGTTGAACCATATGTAACGATTTGTAAATCATACTTTTTTACAGCTTCCTAAATAAATGATAATTACAATATAATTATTGTTAGAAAATTTCCTTTTTTTAACTTAATCCTATAAAACGAATAAGGCTCCCAAAACAGTAAAAGAATTTGAGCGAACAGCTTGCTAATGTGAAATTAAGAAATTCAATAAATTCTCGCGCTTGAAGAGATGCTATTCTAAACTCCATATGAATCCATTTTAAACAATCAGCTAATGCTTGGGTGCTTGTGCTTTACGCATTAGGTCATATGCTGCAATTTAAAAAGTTTTATTAATATTATTAGTATTGTAAATATTTATTACAGAACTAGTAAATTTGTGAAAATACCAATTGTTTCAGAAAAAGCTGTTAATGCGTCTTCCGAACGTTTTATACTAAAGTAACAATCTTCTAAACAAGATATTATATTTTGAAAAAAAAAGTCGTAAATAATAAAATAAACGATCTTACTTGGTATTAATCATGCCGTTGATTTTCTAAATGATGGAACCTTTTGACAAAGTATCTCCATTATATTAAATTCTTTTGATGAAATCTAAATTTGAAAACTTTGTTTAACATGTATTACACATTCAGGTTTAATAGAAAGAACGTGATAAATCAAACGGAATCAACTTCTCAATGGCTAATATAAATAATAAAAATTCGACATAATTTCAAGTTATAAAATAACTAATTCTTTTCACAAACGTCATTCTGATTTTTAGAAATCAAATTCAACAAGCTTGGACTCAACAATTTCGCTAGTAAACTTGTATTTGATAACTTCTATCCACTCTCTTTTGGAAAAATGGAGCAACAACATTGGTAGAAGCTTTTTTTAAGGACTTCCTGGCTTTACTGCTGGGACGGATTTCCAACAGGAGCTGCTTTCTTAAATGCATATTCCTTTAAAAAGGCAAATGAGTTGAACTATATTATAACTTACCAAAGAAAGATTAAATTAACTACTCCGAAAATACGACGCACAGCTTCATTTTTTTGCCACAGGTTATCCCGTTAGGTGCATCTGCTTTGCTAGATGTGGATGCTTGATATATTACTTTAATTTCAGCCTTTCCATAACATTTTTTGACTTTCCCTTTTTATATCGTCAAGCTCTTCCAAGAAAGCGCCTTCTCACCAATGGCTTTTACCCTTGTTCCCAATCCTTTAAAAGCTGATTAAGGACAGGTTCAAAATTGTCTTCAGAAGCTTTCACCAATACCAATATTTCAGATAAAGATTAGATTTCAGCCTTTTTGTGATGCAATTTAGTAAATTTTTTTTTTCTGCCATTTCATGGACTCTTGATTAAATTGTAGGTTCTTGTGTTTCCGGCCGCCAATATTTTCTGAAATATTGCAATTCAAATAATAAATTATTAATTAGATTAATAATTGTAAATTCGGAATGACCTGATAAAATTTACACTTAAAATATGTCATCCAATGTCGAAGCCAAAGCATTTGCTTTATTCTTTAAGAGTAGAAAATAATAATTAGCTTAATAAAATATTCAATATAAACAAATAATAAATTGAACATGATTAATTACCGTTTGTTAATATTTTGCAAAAGCTTCACGTAAACCCAAGGCCAACAATAGCCGAGATTGTAACTAATAAAGCATTGGAATCGGATATACACTATAATTTTAAAGTAACACATAAGTAAACTTTCTCACTACATGATGTTAATTTTTACAATATTCTCACACCATTACAATGCAAGCAGTCAAACTAATTTCCGGAATTATATGATGTTATTTCAAGAATCTATTATTATAATTAATATTTCTTACCAATCCAATATAAAATTCTTTGGACAATATTTATTGAACATCGACTGGTTCTACTAAATAATATGCATCTCTCTCTTTCTCTTCTACTTCAGCTTCATCACCTATAAGTTACAAATATTATAAAGATAAACCTAAATAAATACTTCATTAATATACAGTACACCACTGCCTATTCTTCAGCTACTTGTGAACGTAATAATCGTCCCTGTTGAGGTTTTTCTTATGGTAATTTTCAAATGCTTATTTATTTCTTTGATATATAATAAAGAAATATTAATAAAATCTTGAATTTTACCCAGTTCGGGAAACTGGAGTTCAGGAAATTGGCTTCTGAAACGTTCTGTTCCCAATAGTAATGATCAGCCAATATAAACCTCCCCAGAGCTGTCACTAGTATTGGATCAAAAGGTTTGGCCCATAAAACTTATAATTAAAGCAAATTTAGCATAAAATAAAAAAAAGGTGAAAAGGAAATCCTAGGCCAAAAATCTTGAAAATCATAAAACTTTACTTACACGAATTAGCTTGAAATAAATTCAATTCATTTTTGCATGTCTGGCTCCAAAAAATTACTGCTGCACTTCGATGTTAGATCTCACATTTCTGACATTTCCATTTCCTTCCTTTCAATAATAAGTAATTGATCTAGACCACAGCCATAATTAATTGTTTCTTTTAAGAAAGAATTAGACTTCGTTTTGCTTTTTTTAAGTTTTGTAAATTGATCTTCGTATCTTAATTCCTCAGAAAATTAAACGAAATTTTTATTGCAAAAAATTATTGAAGTATAAGGTGACAGTAAAAGCGCGATAAAGAATTATTTATTTTATTAATAGAAAATAAAAAATAAAAAATACAAATAAAAGATAAAAGATAAAAAAAAAAAAGAGATTCCTAATTATTTAAGATTAAGGGAATCCGTAATCGCTGTAATAAAATTTAAAAGTTATAATTTTATAAAGCAATTTCTATTTGTACACGGTCATATATGACTCATGCTCTTAAAATAATTGATAACTTTAGCAAAAATATTCTAAACGTACCTCCATAATATAAATAATAAAGTAATACTATAATCAAGGTATTTAATTTTTTTTATTTCATTCGTTTTTCCATGTCTGCTCTAATTTGGCGCGTTAATCTTTCTAAGTCATTTTGTTGTTCATCTAAAAAAAAAAAATGTAAAATTTATCAGTTGGTACTGTACATGTAATTTAACTTATTCACGAAAACGAGTATACATACTTTAAAAAAATTCTTATAGAAAAAGAAAAAATGTATTTGATTTAAAGCATGATGGAAGTTTGTTTTATAGTAGCTACGATTTAAATGGTTTCGGAACCATTGTCTTCGGGGTGTGGTACGACCCGCCGTGGTTGTTCGTCGTCGGTACTTGGATTTAACTGTGTAAAAAAATTTAAAGATTTAAAATTACAATTATAATCTTTAAACATACATTTTATATTTGGATGCAGACCAACACAACAATTACGAGAATATTTATGAAGGAATTCCACCTATCAAAGTTCCTCATCTCGTTGAGCAAATTAACGTTCTCTTCTCGTAATTGTCTCATTGTCATTACATCACCAAAATTTCGACGGGGTTAAGTTCGACCCGCCGTTATGGTTCTTCTTCGTCGCGCAGCATGGGGAGCAGGAACAGCATCAGGATCATCTGCTGGTGGAAGAGGAGGAGTGAGGGAGGGAGGAAGGAAGGAAGGAAGGAAGGGAAGGAAGGGAAAATTACAATTGTTTTTTTTTAAAAAACAACTGGAAATAATTTGTGTAAAATAATAATCCATAAATATTAAAGAAACAAACCATTTAACCTTTACTTATTCGCTTTAAAAACGAAAATATACAACTTCTTATTTCTTTTATTAATTTGAGTGAAAGTAACGAGAGTAAAAAGGTTTTGAAATTTCTCATGGGGATCCTTTTTTATGTGCTAATTAAGTCAACATCTATTACTCATAAAATCGAACTTTTTAGTACGTGTCATATCGGCAACATCTATTACTCTAACAATCGAATTTTCTGGAATATATTAGAATAAAACAATAGTTATATTACTCCCAAATTTAAATTATACTAAATTACTTATTACTTATTTAATTTTTTATTTAACATAAAAAAAAAAATGGATTCTTTGGAACGCTCTTGTCAAAATATCCTGGTTTCAAAAGAATTTGACATTACTACAGTATTTTAAAAAAACTCGACATAAGATTTATGGCGCGTGGCGTAGCAATTTTCTTGAATACAAATTTTCAGTTTTTTTTTTTTTTGAATTCTTTGATTCAGGTTCGATTGTTTAGTGTGCAATAACGATTCGATATTTCTTATACTCTAAATTTTTTTTTTAATATTTTATATATGTATATTTTTTTTTTGATTTTTTGGAAGTTAAAGGTAATTAAATTGGGGGTTTTTTTAATCATTCTTTTTTGGGTTCGAATGATTAATTAAAATAGGCAAACGTTTTCTCATTTGCTTCGGTTTTCTATTTTCTTATTCTTTTTTTTATTTGATTAGTAGGTTTTGGTGTTTAATAATAGGCTAGTGTTTTCTCATTGATTCGATTTTTTTTATAACTTTTTTATTTTGTCTTATAAGTTCTACTCTTTCGGGTTCGATTATTTCCATCGATTGATTTATAGTGGATTTCTCATTAATGGTATTATTTTCTACATTTGTTTCCGCCCGCGATATTTGTTTTTTCTCTTTATTATCGGATATGTTTATTTTCTTCAGGCACACTGCGATCATCTATCCGCCCTTTAGCTTGATTGAACTTTTTTCTTTAGGTACTTCTTTCGGTTTAATTTGATTCTGAAAGTAGATAAGGCAACTTCCTTAATTGTATTTTATTTTATGGGTTTTAATCGCTTCGGGATGAAGCGATCGAATAATACATGACACCAAGGTGGTGGTGATGTTAAATTACATTCAAGACTCCCTAACGCACTTATAGTGCCACTAAAAATTGATACGATTTTTTAATTCGATTTTCGTTAAATTCGATTTTGTTATTGCATGAGTTAATTAAGTCAACAAAACGAGAAACAAGAAAAGAGTATAAAAATTTATAAAGTTGACAATTTCTTACGGCCTTGCACTTGTACGATTAGCTAATAAAAAATTTGTTAGTGGAACTAATCATTATAATAAACGATTGATGTCGAACTGCAACCAGAAATTTCACAATATACGTTGTTAATGATTCTTTTAAAGTTTATCAATTAATTATCGCATTGTTAATTATTTTAACATCAAATTTTACGGTTATCGGTTTCACAAACATGGGAATCGTTAATGCTTCTTTCGTCATGATGATAGAATAGCGGATCAATACGTGTTAAAAGATTGGAATTAATATAATATATAAGATGAACCTTTACAAATATATTTAAACTGCGCTTTATTTCAGGTAAAGTGACTATTTAATTATTAGCTGAAATGTTTTATACTATGGTTTTTCATTTGAACTTTTATTTTATTAATTTAGAAACATTTGTAAAGATTTACGATACCTCAGGAATCATTCCATATAGGTATGAAAGACTAATAGTTACATACATACATATTTGAAAAGCAAAACGAATCGAAAATATCATTGATAAGGAGAATGAATTTGTGATTTGCAAGATTAAAATAAAACCCTTATACTAAACGAGCAGGTAGCACTAAGTGTTAAATTAAAACATTCGAATCAATTATTCATGTTTTGTGTCGTGTCTAAAATAAATAAAAAAAATTTAAAAACAACAAATACGAAATTTTTTTTTATTGAAATGGTAAAATTATTGAATTTTCTTCGTTGATTTTAATATTGATAAGCCAAAATTTAAAGTACTGTCAATTTTCTTTATGATATTCTCACTGTTAAATATCAGCTGGTGAATTTATAAAATTTAAGCGGCAATAAATATAAATTTATTTGTCCTTTTTGGATCTTTAACCTATATGCGACACAAATATTTTGAGATACGTTTTAATATCATGTGTTATAGAATTGAGAAAAAAAGGTTTTGAGCCTATATAACGGCTCTTCGCCTTGCATATTTTAATTTTAATAAAGTTCGTTATTGAAAAAGTCCTAACTGTTAAACCTTATTTTTTTTTTTTAAGATGAACCCATCAAACAATCAAGTACAACTTCAAATAATTAATATATATTTTCTTAGATGCATACTTCCAAAGCACTTGCTATTTCTAAGAAGATTTATTTTGATCTCACTTGATATGTATAGAGGTTATTTGTTAAACTTCCAAATTATTTGAATATTTACTTCAGATTATCAAATTGACAGGAAACGTGATATTCTAAATATTTCTTCGACCATTAATAATCGACTATAGTTAGTCAAAAAAATCTTTAGTAGTCTTATGATTTCCATGGAAGGCCCTTTCATAAAATATTTCTCTTTCCTTATAGAATTTTGCGAGACATGCTTATGGGCGGATCATGATTGTATAGAAAATTACCCATATGAGATTTTTTAATTTGGCGATCATATTATCGTACAGGATCTTATTGATAATATTGTAATTTTAAAATTATAAAAATTTTCATGTTTCGTCATCATCGCCATCATCGTCTTGAACAATTACGTAATAAAAATTCATGCGTCTATAACAACAATAAGAAATGAAACTATAAGATATTTCCAAATGTTATACAGTATATCATTTTATTTTCTTTTTCATAAAAGAAGCATATTATTCCCATCATACTTTTCTTCCTCATACTTAAAATTGTGTTCAAATTTCAAACGACGACGTTTTATTTTCGCTAAACATTTCGAACGCGCTCTAAAACATTTTTTTGCTTTTGACTAAATTTGCATTAGTAGTGGTTTTCCATTATGGTGACAGCTAAACAATGTTATACGGTGAAGCCGTGATCCGTGACTGCGCTAAAAATAAGTCATGTGATCTAAATGATCGACATAGTTGACGAAGTTGATAAA